CTTTAACTCGGACGGCTGACCCAGATAAGTAACCTAGGAAGCTGGTAGACATAAATGAACTGCCCCCATGTTTTCCAAACAGCTTCCTGGGGGGGTTAACTGACTTTTGAGATGGGGTTGGAGACAAAGTCTTAGAGCAGTGTTTCTCAACCATGGCGACTTTGAGAGGAGTGGACTTCAACTTTAAGTTGCCACGGTTGAGAGACCTGACAAAAGCAGGACAAGTTTGGGAACTCGGTTGTCATCGCCATTTTCGTTTTCACCCTCTTCCTTGCAGCCGCGCGGTGTACAGTATATATAATTCAACCTGAACTTCAGCTGACATCTAAAAAGCTGCTTTACATTGCCCAGGGAATTTTTTAAAAACTTTTTTTAAAATATTCATTAAGTTGTAGTCCCCTCCGTAACTTACAGCATGCTTAGGCATTCTGCTCGTAAATCAGTTGCTTACCGTTTGGAATATTTTGCCATAGGTGATGACTCTTTCTTGAAGATGGTGTTTAAAAAATGCTTCAGAAATTTGCCCTGCCTGAATGAGTAGGCTTTTTTTCAGCTTTGCGTTTGTTTCTTTTCTAGAAGCTAATAAAGAGCTTCATATTGCTCCTTCCTGCATTTTTGTTCATTCCAGCATGCAATTTTACTGGTTTCTTTATGCAACCTGAAGCAGTAAGATATCCCTGTTTTTCTGTTTATGATTCTTTGGGGCTGCTCCCAGTTCTTGTCCATTCCAGTCCAGAGAAGGCCCAGTGTCAAGATGGGATAATATTTCTCGAATCTGCACCAACACATCCACTAGGTAAAAGAGACATTTATCTGGGGGGAAAAAGTACTTGTCGCTTTAGGGTGATATACACGCATTTCCCCGATGGCCACTTTTATCCTAAATCTTGCAAGGAAATAAGAGCACTGATTTATTCTGGGAAACATGGAAGCTGCCTGGTCGAAGCACAAGCATGATAAATTCGCATTTTCTTGCACCAGAGAAGCATTTAAGCCTGCCAGCCAAAATGTAAATAGCTAAACATGAGGATTAATCAGCTTGTTTCAGGAATTTGTTAGTGCTTCCCAAACCCAGAATTTAAAAAATCAAGAATATAAAAGGAATCTTAGTTCAATTATTATTTGTCAGAAATGAAATGGTGCCAGGAACTATGTAACCGGTTTTGTGTAAATAACATTAATTTTGAAATACTGAACCAGTGCGTCCCCCATTATTTCTCTATAGCTGTGTAGGAATATTGTCACGGGTGGAGAAACCCACATGTCTTTTGGTGTCATCAAATTCTCTGCACAATTACTTCTCAGACACTTCAGATGGCTTGGATTTCTCATGTTCATTTTCTGGAGAAGCCTGAGCTTCCCTACTTATTAAATAAGCCATCTTTTGCCCTTTAAAGACCAAACATTTCTGGTTTGGAAGAGATCAAGGGGAAGGAATAGCACCAGACTGTTCAGAAGCCCCTTAGATGCCAGACAAACAACAAAAGCAAATTATTTTGCTCATGGGGGTCTTAACGAGAGCAGTTTTCTCTTGTATGCTTCCATCTCACTGTGTCTCCTAAAACTCAAATGAAGCAAGAGCAAAACTGGGGAGTTGGGGGGGGGGGGGGTCCTCTCCAAATAAAGAAGTTAGGAAAAAAATTAAAACAGCTAGAAAACACTCTAATCCATGAGAACATTGAAAATTAGTTGCCAGGCTTCACCAGGCTCAGATCCTTTAATGCTAAATTATCAGACAGTTTGTGACATTGTGGTATTGTGGGGAAAGAAGAAAATGAGAAGTATTATACTTTTTCTTCCCCTTCCCCTTCCCCTTCCCCTTCCCCTGAGGCTGGTAACATTTCACCCGCCTGATATATGAATGAGACAAGGATTAGCCACCCTGTTTGTCAATGATCCTGCATGTTTGAGCAAGGCTCATCCTGCCAACAGTGGAGGCCTTCTTTTCCTGTCCCCGCCACCCCCCAAGATGTTCGTCGAGGGAGGGAAACGAGATAACTTA